ACCTAACCAGTGACCTGTACAATGAAAATATAACCTTATTAGATTTGTATTCAATATTTTTAATAGATACAACCTAAAATCCTACTTGCCCTACCACTAGCAACAGCACACTGCTTGGGTGGCTTTAGAGACTGATCAACTGCTACACCAAGATCCCTTTCTTCATAACATTATTAAGGTTATTCCCATCCATATTAAACTTACAATTCAAATTATGATAACTCACATGCATTATCTTGCATTTATTATAATTAAAACCCATTGGCCATCTAAATCCTTTTGTAAATCAGCAGCATCCTCTTCACAGCTAACATCACCCAAGACTTTGATATCATCTGCAAATTTAAGCAATTTATTGACTATCCCTTCATCTATGTCATTGATGTAAATCAAAAAGAGCAAAGGTTCTAAGACTGAGCCCTGAGGTACCCCATTGGTAACATTAATCCAGTTTGACTGAACTCCATTTGTAACAACCCTCTGCTTTCTTCCATCCAGCCACTCTTCTATCCAATTTGCTAACTTATCCCTCACAACTGTAGAGATAATTTTTTTATAAGCCTTTTATGTGGCACATTGGCAAATGCTTTCTGAAAATCCAAGTACATCAAATCTACACCCTTACCCTCATCTACATAAGCAGTAACCTTTTCAAAGTATGTCAAAAGATTTGTAAGGCAACATTTTCCCTTAGTGAAACCATGTTGACTATCCAATAAAATTCTAAAATTTGTTTAATGACTTTGCAAAGCATCTTCTAACAGACTTTCCAAAATTTTTCCCACAACTGATGTAAAACTAATGGGTCTATAATTATTGGGACAATTTATATCACCTTCCTTGAAAAGAGGAGTTACATTAGCTAACTTCCAATCCTCTGATACCTGCCCACTATTCAAGGACTGACAAAAAACAGTAGCAAGTGGCTCACATATCCAATCTTTAACCCCCTTCTAAACCCTTGGGGAAATATTATCTGGCCCAGGAGACTTATTGTTCTTTAAACTTCCCAATTTTTTCTTAACCAGCTCAGAATTATTGTAGTCATCTTGTTTGATCTCATTTCCATTTATCATCTGATCAAGATTTGGAATACTGCTTAAATCTTCGTTAGTAAAAACCAAAGAAAATGCAAAATTTAATAACCCAGCCATCTTATAATCATCAGATACGAGCCTTCCTTTATCATCCCTCAAGTGTCCTACCTCCATCCTAGCATTTTGTTTCCCCTTAATGTATTTAAAGAAATCCTTACTGTTAATTTTTACATTTTCAGCCAACTTTTGCTCATACATCCTTTTTGATATCCTGATTTCCTGTTTCACCAAATTTCTGGATCTTCTAAGTCTCCTGTCATAATGGTCAATTAAAATTTCTTAAACTTATGATGCTTTTCTTTAATTTTATTTTTAAACGTTTTGTGAGCCAACTTTGTTTTTTACTTGTAGCTACTCTTTTCTTTCTATTAAAAATATGTTTACAGTGAATATTTGAAAATGTATCTTTAAAAATTTTCCACATCTCGTCAGTGTCTCCAAATAACTCAGCTGCCCAATTCACAACAGATAACTCTTGTGGCATCCCTTCAAAGTTTGCTTTTTTAAACTTTTTAACCAAAATATCATTATTCCTTATCTCCATATGCAGCAAAACATTGAATTATACCATAATAACCAGGATATTGTCTTGAGTACAACAATATTCTCTGTACAGACCAGTACACAACAGTTAGATCATAGTAACCAGGTTATTGTCTCATGTACAGCATTATTTTCAGTACTGACCAGTACACAAGAGCTAGACCATGATAACTACGTTACTGTCTCATGTACAACAATATTCTCAGTATTGACTATTACACAAGAATTAAACCCAAGTAACCAGGTTACTGCCACATGGACAACAATATTCTAAGTATTGACTATTACACAAGAATTAAACCCAAGTAACCAGGTTACTGCCACATGGACAACAATATTCTAAGTACTGACTAGTACTTAAGAGTTAGACCATAGTATCTATGTTACTGTCTCATGTAGAATAATATTTTCAGTACTGACTAGTACTCAAGAGTTAGACCATAATAATGAGCTTACTGTCTCATGTACAACATTATTCTCAGTACTAACTACTATAGGAAAGTTATACAATAGTAATCAGGGCACTGTCTCCTTTACAACAATATTATTAGTACTGACTAGTACACAAGAGTTAGACAATATACTATCCAAGTTATTGTGTTACATAAAACAAAATTCTAAATGCTGACTAGTATGCTAAAGCTAGACCATAGTAACCAGGTTACTGTCTCATGTACAACAATATTGTAAGTACTGAGTAGTACACAAGAGTTAGACCATAGTAACCAATATACTTTATCATGTACATCAATATTCTAAATACTGACTAGTATACAAGAGTTAGACTACAGTAACCAGGTTACTGTCTCATGCACAACAATATCATAAGTAATGACTACTACACAAGAATGATGCCATAGTAACCAAAAAATTGTCTCATATTCTAAGTACTGATTGCTGTGTTATACCATAGCTCCTAGACTACATACAACAATGTTAGTGCTGAAGAGTGGAGAAGACATTAATAAGTAAACTAAGAAATGCTGGTAAAATGTTAATTTTATTGGATGCTTTTACAGAATGTTTGTTTTTGACAGAACTTACTGTATGGTACTTTTGCATATATTCCATTTGTGGACTAAGATGTGATTTTGGGGTGGACCACCCATTAAGAGGAGGTGATAACTGTTCAAATGTTCTTCCTCGAATTGTAAGTCCAAGGGCTTCCCGACTCCCAACTCTGGATTCCAGTTCTTCAGCTCTCTGTTCTGTGCTTTCTTTTTCCTCCTGAATGAGTCTATAAACATAGAAGCTCTTTACACAACATTCAACACATAGGAGTTAGGAACTTTATTAAGTGTAGGTGTACATAATCTCAAAACATGACAGGTAGTACAATGGTTAATTAGCTTTGAAACATTGACAGCTCTAATATGTGTGAAAAATCATTAAACATCATATAACTACTGTAACATCAACTTAAAAAGCTATTTCGTGTGAAAACCATTAATCATTATGTAGCTAGTGTAACATCTACTTAGAAACATGGTTATTATGTGTGAACATCATTAAACATTATGTAACTAGTGTAATATCTACTTAGGAACATAGCTATTATGTGTGAAAATCATTAAACATCATGTAACATCTACTTAGAAACACAGTTATTATGTGTGAAAATCATTAAACACTAAGTAACTACTGTAACACCTACTTAGGAACATAGCTGTTGTGTGTGAAAATCATTAAGTAACATGACACTGTTGTGACGTTTATGTAAGACCACAATTATCACATATATTATCAGAAGAACAAATAATCAAATGTATAAACAGACATATTTCTTGCACATGCTTATATACTTGATAGTCATAACAGAAAACAACAACAATAAAAATATATGAATGCAACAAATGTAGTTTCGTAACCTATTAAACAAATGATGTAAATGTTCTTGATTCCTAAGAAAACACTATAGTTAATGATATTCCTTGCCATAGCAAACTCATTTAGTTTCTGCATTGGCGAGAAACAACATATAATTTACTTTAAGTGTATGAATAACATGGAATAGAAAACCTAATATCATTGTTGAGAAACAACATACAATTATTTCAAGTGTGGCAACAATGGGAAATATTGAACCTAATCTCATTGTTCAGAAACAATATGTAACTTACTTTAAATTTAACAACAATGGGAAATATCGAACCTAATCTCATTGTTCAGAAACAATATGTAACTTACTTTAAATTTAACAACAATGAGAAATATCAAACTTAATCTCATTGTTCAGAACAACATATGATTTACTATAAATTTAACAACAATGGGAAATATCGAACCTAATCTCATTGTTCAGAAACAATATGTAACTTACTTTAAATTTAACAACAATGTGAAATATCAAACTTAATCTCATTGTTCAGAAACAACATATGATTTACTATAAATTTAACAACAATGTGAAATATCAAACCTAATCTCATTGTTTATGGCATCTAGCTGGTCTTGAAGCATGAGTGCCAAGGTCTGGGCATCAGTAGGGCCAGATGGAGACAGCAGGTCCATTGTCTCATTCTCGTCAGATGGGCTACATTCTGTGTCACTGACATCAAAGGCCTGTTGGACATTTGCAATGATATTAGGCTGCTGTACAGTCTCCCATTCATCTTCGTTTATTATATGAACCTGATTAATGTCAAACATATACTTCATCATTTGCCTTCACCAAGTATCTGACCTCTAGTAATTAATATGCATATACACTATTGTAATATATGTAAGGCCAATATAACCCTTCTCTGTGTAATGAATACTATCAGTGAAAATTCTTCATTTGTTAAAATTCTCTTCATTAAGTATGTTTACACTCCAAAGGACACTACAATACTTATTTGGTTAAGTGCCTTTATAATTAATAACTTAAAACGTTTAGAAATTAATACAATTCCAAAGTTGGAAAAAAAAATTCCCTTAACTTTTAAACAAAGAATCTAGGGACTGAAAAATCAAACTTGTTCCAGAAATTGAAAAGATATTGGAAACATTTTTAAATATAATGACCCAGGGCATTAGAAAATAAAAACCATTTCAGAAATTGGAAAAATTTAAAAGTACTGATCCAGGAGATTACAAAATAAAAATTATTTCAGAAATTGGAAAAAATTACATGCATGTTTAACACATTTATAATTTTTTGTTAGGTTTTCAATATGACTAAACTTCAATGTTTGAATATTTTCAAATTGTATTTTACACAAATGAATAATTCTTTTCCTAATACATATCAAATTAATATTTACATTGCCTAATATATCAATTATGCAGTTGTTTTTAATATTTAATATACACGTGATTATCACTTTGTAAGAGCACTTGCTCTGCCAAGACATGCTTACTATATAAAGACGTTTTAATAAACTGTAAGCTAAAAAAATTATTGTTTTGTTTCAGTCATACTTTGCTAGTTCTGAATTTAAACATTAATATTTATAAAATAAATATAAACATATACATACAGGGTTGTCTCTGCATGTCAAACAGTTTAGAATGAGATGGAACTGATTGGGAAAACATCCTTGGCTGGGTCAAGCAGAATAATTTTATGTTTGCAAAAAATATTCATACAAGTTTAGCTTTCAAAATTATTCCCATGTTACATTAGAGTGTAGGGTAGATGAAAAGGAATATTAGTTTCTGTAATACATCACATTCTACATCATCATTAAAATCTTACTAATCTGTAAATGAATATAAATAAATATTTAATCATAACAACTGAATATCATTGTTAAAAGGTCACAAATAATCCTCCAAGATGTTGACAAAAAAACAAATAATCATCTAAAATTATAACGAAAAGTTCTTAATATTTTTTCCATTTGTCAGGTGAGTATTTCAAATAATAAATTAAAAAACAAAGAATTATAAAATACATTTAACAATTTCTGCATTGATTAAAATTATTGGACAAATACTAAGTAAGCTTATTGAAAAATGGCAATACCAATGGCCAAATCTGAGTATAACAGATTTTTACGTAAAAGCTATAGGAATAATAAATCCCATTTCTACTGTATTATTTCTGGGATTTTCCCAGATAATATCATTATGTACTGTACATAGTATGCTTTGAGATGGATTACTATAGATAATATCATTATGAACTGTACATAGTATGCTTTGAGATGGATTACTATAGATAATATCATTAAGAACTGTACATAGTATGCTTTGAGATGGATTACTATAGATAATATCATTAAGAACTGTACATAGTATGCTTTGAGATGGATTACTATAGATAATATCATTAAGAACTG